AACAACCTTGATGGTTCATAGGGGAGAATCCGTTCGGACAGGTAAACTGGGCCGGAGTCATTTAGGGATTTATAGGTCAACACCAGCACTTTGAATTGTGCTCGGAAGCTAATTGGCAGCCAGTGGAGCTGGCGCAACAGAGGAGTAGTATGCTCCCTGTACCCCGCTCCTGTTAGTAATCTGGCTGCCGCTCGTTGGACTAATTGCAGCTTCTGGGCAGTCTTCAGAGGCAACCCCACATAGAGAGCGTTGCAGTAGTCTATACGGGATGTAACCAGAGCGTGGACCACCGTGGCCAAGTCATTTTCATTTGAAGCCATTGTTCCATTGCGTCCTAGTCTCCAGGGCAGCAGAAAACAAGTTCGGTCCCTCCTCCCTGTGACTTCCTCTCACATATTTATACATGGCTATCATGTCTCCTCTCAGCCTTCTCTTCTTCAGGCTAAACATACCCAGCTCTTTAAGCCGCTCCTCGTAGGGCTTGTTCTCCAGACCCTTGATCATTTTAGTCACCCTCCTCTGGACACATTCCAGCTTGTCAATATCTCTCTTCAGTTGTGGTGCCCAAAATTGGACAAAATATTCCAGGTGTTGGAATATTGTCATACAGCAGCTAAGGGGACACTTGCAGGAATGATGGGATGCAAAGGTCATTTCATATCCAGTATCTTCCAGATGCTTCCAAATAAACAATCTCAGTTGAAAGCTGGCTTCTACGGAGATGGTAGTATTTATTTTTGTATGGAAACTATGATAATCGGTGTGAAGCCGAAGCATTCCTGGCACGGCGAAGAGCAGAGCATTTGGAGCCTTGAAATGAGACGAGATTCCCTCCGAATGCTGATTAATCCACCTGATTATAATCCCTGCAAAGCTTGCCTGCTGTTACCACTCGCATCGGAAACCCATTTTCTCTCGATGGGCAAAGGAAGGCCGTGATCGGCATAATTTGAGGCTTTATTTGATTTATCTCTCCCTCCGGCATTGAGAATCCCCTCCATCTTTCGCAAGGAGAGAGTTAATTGCCGCCTTGTCGTAACCCGTTGCTTGTTGTGTTGTTTGTTCCCTAAAGAGGCGGTGTTCGTCCGCTTCTCAAAAATTGAGCTGCAAGAAAAACCAAAATGCATTCCATATTTGCCGAAAAGGTGGATATGGGATCCTTTTCTTGTCTTTCTATTTAAAGCTTTAGTTTGACCTCTGAATGAACAGCTGGCTCGTGATCTTTCCTTTTGCGTCAAATTACAAAATGGGATTTCTATGATTTGCCAGCCTTGCAGTCCAGGTCTTGTTTGAATCAATCCAGATTTTTCAATAAGTGTTACATTAGGATGCATAAGGATTTTCAGAGTGTTTCATCTTGTGTTCGTTGCAAGAACACAAGACCGGGATTGTGGCGCAGTTGACTGGGAGTCAAGGTCATGAGTTCGAAGCCAGCCTGGGTCGGAGTGAGTGTCCGACCAATTTGTATAGCTTGCTGTTGACCTTTGCAGCCCGAAAGACAGTTGCATCTGTCAAATAGGAAATTTAGGTACCACCTACGCGGGGAGATTAATGTAACTAATTTATGATGCCATAAAAATCTCCAGCAAGCATGCAAAGAATGAGGAAGTACTTAATCAGTGTCACAAATGGACGGTGAAGCAACAGCTCCCCTGGTGGCCAGAATACCCTCATGAAAAGTTAAATTGCCTCTGTGTCTGTCTATATATGTTGTGTGTCTATGGCAAGGCTGCACAAAATTTTTATACAGAGGGCCAGGTCATAGTCCCTCAAACTGTTGGAGGGCCAGATTATAATTTGAAAAAAAAAATGAATGAATTCCTATGCACAGTGTATGTATCTTATTTGTAGTGCAAAAAAACCCACTTTAGAACAATACAATAATTAAAATGAAGAACAATTTTAACAAATATAAACTTATTAGTATCTCAATGGGAAGTGTGGGCCTGTTTTTTGCTGATGAGATAGGATTGTTGTTGTTGTTATTATTATTATAGGATATCATGAATAAACAATGTCAAAAATACTGACAATATTATTAATATTTATTAATTTATTTACTCACCCCTGGGGGTCTCAACATTAAATGGCGTACATACATGTGAAAACGAAAACATAATTTCTAAGTAATAACATATAACTATAAATTGAGAACCTTAGCCATCTTAAAACAACATCATTTAGACGTTACAACAGAACAATTGGATTGAAATTGAATATTAATATCAATTATCTCATAGAACATATGAAATAGGAAAAATATATAATGATTAATGCCATTATTTTTAAAATACACCCTTGAAAGAAAATGATTATTCAATCAATTTCTCTATTAAGTACATTATACTTTTACTACTCTATTATTTTAAAATATATTAATATTAATGTATTATAGAAATATTTATACACCACATAATGTTAACCAATATATTAATTATACCATCATTTGATTAAAAATACAATGTTAATATATTATATTTGTATTATAATAGCAATATTATTTTATAATATTTATATCAATTATATATACATATATATATATATATATATATATGAACCAGTTTTCATTTTAAAAATGTGAATATATTTCTATTAAATTACTTTATAATATCAATTATTATATCATTTATATATATTAATCAGACCATTAATTCATTTCAAAACACGCTAATATAGCATGTCGATTATATTAATAATTATATAATATTATATTATATTAATGGCATAGAAAGTTATGTAATATATATATTAATATATAATTATATATTAGTTATGTATATTAACATATTAATTATAGCATTTTTATATATAATATTGATAATAGTGTTATTATATAATATTATAATATTAATGACATAGAAAGATATGTAATATATATATTTATTTATTATTTATTTATTACTGCGCTTGTATACCGCCGTTTCTCAGCCAAAATTGGCGACTCAACGCGGTTTACAACTCTACAAACAATCAACAATATTCAGTATAAAAAGCATAAAAACAACATACAATACATAGTATTGGGCCACCAATACAATCCAATGCATCTCTTAACTAGAATCGTAGTCCAATTTCATCGTCCATGATTACCAGTCCTTAATCATCAATTTCTTTGCACCGGATTAACCGAATGCTTGTTTGAACATCCATGTCTTCAATCTTTTCCGAAACACCATCAGCGAGGGGGCTGATCTTACCTCTATGGGGAGGGCGTTCCAAAGCCGAGGGGCCACCACAGAAAAGGCCCTGTCTCTCGTTCCCGCCAGCCGCACCTGTGAAGCAGGCGGGATGGAGAGCAGAGCCTCCCCAGAAGATCTTAGGGTCCTGGTGGGCTGATAGGCCGAGATACGTTCGGATAGGTAAGTTGGGCTAATTATATATTAGTTATGTATATTAACATATTAATTATAGCATTTTGTATATTTAATAGTGTTATTATATATTATAATATTAATGACATAGAAAGATATATATATATTAATTAATATATAATTATTATTAGTTATGTATATTAACATATTAATTTCTAGCCTTTTGTATCATTGAATAGTGTTATTAAGTTCTTATATTTCTATTAAATTACTTTATAATATCAATTATTATATCATTTATATATATTAATCAGACCATTAATTCATTTCAAAACACGCTAATATAGCATGTCGATTATATTAATAATTATATAATATTATATTATATTAATGGCATAGAAAGTTATGTAATATATATATTAATATATAATTATATATTAGTTATGTATATTAACATATTAATTATAGCATTTTTATATATAATATTGATAATAGTGTTATTATATAATATTATAATATTAATGACATAGAAAGATATGTAATATATATATTTATTTATTATTTATTTATTACTGCGCTTGTATAGTGTTATTATATAATATTATAATATTAATTACATAGAAATATATGAAATATATATATTAATTAATATATAATTATATATTAGTTGTGTATATTATATTAATTATAGGATTGTTATGTATATTAACATATTAATTATAGCATTTTATATATATTTAATAGTTATTATATATTATAATATTAATGACATAGAAAGTTATGTAATATATATATTAATTAATATATAATTATATATTAGTTATGTATATTAACATATTAAACATTATTTTATATATTAATACATATAAAAATTAAAACATAAGTCTACATGTTAATCATATACATTAATACATTAATAATAGCATTATTATATTAATTATATAATAATATATAGATCTCTATACATTAATATAAAATTATATATATTTATGTTAAAATACAATTATATATAATATATAATTTAATATATAAAATTATTATGCTTATATATATTATATATACAATAAATAAATACATATTATATATATATATATAATACCATTATTTCATTTTTATCATTGAATACAGAAGATATGTAACATATATAAAATTAATATATAATTATATATTAGTTGTGTATATTATTATATTAATTACAGGATTATTTTATATATTAATACTTATATATAAAAATTAAAATATAAGTCTATATATTAACCATGTACATTAATGCATTAATAATAGCATTATTATATTAATTGTATATTAATATATAGATCTCTATATATTAATATAAAATTACATATATTTATATTAAAATACAATTATATATAATTATATATAATATATATAATTTAATATATAAAATTATTATGCTTATATATATTATATATACAATAAATAAATAAATATTATATATATATATATAATACTATTATTTCATTTTTATCATTGAATCCAGATTGCCTTCTTTATTCTCTTTTTTCCTCTTGCTTTTTGCAATTCCGCCATGTTGTACGGAAAAAGCCCCTTCCCACCCACTAGGCGCCGCCATGACAGCATGCGTGGGCTCACTTCCGGACGGCGCGCGCGCAGGCTCCCCGCTGGCCAATGAATGGGCGGGAAGGCGGGGCCAAGAGGGAGGGCCGCGCGCACAGGAGGCTTCGAAAAAGGGGGCGGGGCTTGCGCTCCGAGGCTGCCCGGGCCATGGCTACAGTGGAGTCGAAGGTGAGTGCAAAGCGCCGGCCGCATCCACTTCTCTTCAGGCGTGGGGGGAGGCCGGGGTGGCCACTAAGCGAAAGCTGGGATTGAAACACAACGGGCTGCGGATTGGTATCTCCCAAAATGAAGCCGTTGCTCCTCCCCGCTCCCCCTCTGGCCTTCATGGTTCAGCCCATCCTCTATGAGGAAAGGCTGACGCTGGGCCGCTCCCATTGTGTGGAGAAGGGGGGGAGGGTTTAAATCAGAGAAACCCGGAACCCTGCATAACCAAAACAGAGTTATTCCCCGCCATTCCACAAACGCATGAAAGCCATGCTGATTCCGGGGTTCGCTGTACTGCTATGGTTATGCAGAGTCCCGGGTGGAGATGGCGGCTCTCCAAGCTCTCTTGGCGTATTGCCATGCTCGGTCCGGGGCCTGAGCGGAGGGGGCGTGGCCAGTCAAACAAGCAGGGAGGGCAGAGGGAAATACTCCTGAATATTATTCAGAGTGCGGGGCCCCGCCGTCCTTATAGGCTATTCAGCTTGCGGGCCTCTCAGAGTTCCTTTTATGAGAGTTCATTCATTTTTTGCTGTTTCCAGAAGGCTGGTTGAGTTACTCAATTGGGAGGAATCTTCATTATAACTATCTAATGATCTATAGCTAGATCATTATAACTATCTAATGATCTATAGCTAGATATTAATTATTATATTATATTAACTGCATAGAAAGATATGTAATATCTATATTAGTATATTAGTTATGTATATTAACATATTAATTATAGCATCACATTATAGCATCACCTCCAGGCATCACATTTCAGCATATCAGGTATTTGTGCCAAGTTTGGTCTAGATTTATCTTTGTTTGGGTTCACAGTGTTCTCTGGATGTAGGTGAACTACAACTCCCCCAAATCAAGGTGAATTTTCCTCAAAGACCTCCAGTATTTTTTGCTGCTCATGGGGGCCCTGTGTGCCAAGTTTAGTCCAATTCTATCCTTGGTGGAGTTCAGTGTGTTCATTGATTGCAGATGAACTATAAATCCCAGTACCTGCAACTCCAGAATGTCCAGGCCAATTCCCCTCCAGCTAACCAGTATTCAAATTTGGGCACATCTACAACTCCTCTAAATCCCTCCAAAGACCTCTAGTATTTGTTTTTGGTCATGAGGGTTCTGTGTGTCAAGTTAGTTCCATTGGTGGAGTTCAAAGTGCGGTTCTTAGATTGCAGGTGAACTATACATCCCAGTGACTACACCTCGTAGATTTCATGGTGGGTTCTCCCCAAACCTCTCTAGTATGCTCAGTTGCTGATCAATTCCTCTGTTTGCTGTGTGCTATAGAAAATAATAGGAAAAGGTTAAGGGAGAGGCAGTGGAAGGGGTCATGCAAATTCCACATCAATGGAAAGAGTCAGAAACATTGGGATGTCTGTGGTGGAGGAAACACATAAAATTTAGGATGGATTTGTCTCCGAATGAAAGCCTTCACTTGGGTGGTGGACAGTGTGGTGTTTGTGGAGGACACTGGCAGGGCTCTTGAACATGTTTACAATAGCCTGTCCCCGCTTTTGTCGTTTACCTATTACAGTACTGTACCCATATGCCAATCCCATCTTATTTCAATTTGTGTTAGTCTTGACCTAGCCTTTTTAATTGTCTTGACCCATTCCTTTCCCATGCCCTAACAAATAGACATGAAGAGCAGGCAGGGTTTTTTTCTTTTAATATTTATGTGTTGTTGGGTAATTTCATATTACTGTTTTTTTTTTGTTCATGTTGTGACTCTGTTTGTTTTGATGTTGTTGCTTGGAAACTGCCCTGAGTCCCCCCGGGGATATAGAGCTGTATATAAATAAATTATTATTATTATTATTATTATTATTATTATTATTATTATTATTATGACACAAAACCACAGTATGTCACAGCAAACGAGATCTATATGCCGGATTTCGTATCACAAAATCACAAGTCAYACKCTTCCCCAGCGTCTAGGACTGTGTGATGTATTTTCGAATGATGCGCGCAGATCCAAGTCAGGTGGCCTTTTGCAGTTGACAGATTGTGATTTTGTCAATGTTCATTGTTTCCAAATGCCGGCTGAGATCTTTTGGCACGGCACCCAGTGTGCCAATGACCACTGGGACCACCTYTACTGGTTTATGCCAGAGCCTTTGCAGTTCGATTTTGAGGTCTTGATAGCGGCTGGGTTTTTCCTGTTGTTTGTCCTCAATGCGACTGTCACCTGGAATGGTGACATCAATAATCCAGACTTTTTTCTTTTCCACAATCGTGATGTCTGTTGTGTTCCAAAACTTTGCCAGTCTGGATTTAAAAGTCCCACAGTATTTTTGCATATTCATTTTCCATGACCTTTGTGGGTTTATGATCCCACCAATTCTTTACTGCTGACAGGTGGTACTTGTCCCAGTGAATCATCTGGGCCACAGAGTTGTGTCATTATTATTATTATTATTATTATTATTATTATTATTATTAGGTCAGAAGGAGTATGAGAGTTGTTGTTGTTGTTTCTACCTCATTTATCCCTCTAACAAGAGACCCAAAGTGGCTAAATTTCAGAAGAAGGAACAGGCCAAACTACTATGAATATTCCTTGTCAACAAAACTCTGAAATGTATGGGGCTCACCATACATAAACAGACAATATAAAGACACAAGAATGCTTACAGGTACATAAGCCCTTGTTAACAATAACCCATGTAAACGTATACTATGGGTGAGCTTTTAGGCTATTCTATAAGCATAACCATTATACTCTCATACTCCTACTGACCTCATAATAATAATAATAATAATAATAATAATAATAATAATAATAATAATTGCTGCTGTTGCAAGAAGATCGTGCAGACAGACTACAAGCAGAGGCATAACACCGTTGCTCTGATGGTTCATTGGAACTTGTTCTGGAGGTGGTACTTGTGACATAAGTTCCAGTGAATTATTATTATTATTATTATTATTATTATTATTATTATTATTACAGTGCTCACAATAACCAGCAATGTCATTGGAGGGAGGGCCTTTGGTGTCTCCTGAATAGTGGGAGCTATAGTTCTCTGTGAAAGTGGGAGCTTGTCTGTGGAAGTCGACACACCATACATATTTTCACTTTTATTATGTGTGTAGATTGATGGTTGTGGTACTGACATAACTACATCTTCGAATCGATAAAATATAGTAATACAAAAAGCCTTTACTTGGGTGGTGGGCAGTGTGGTGTTTGTGGAGGATGTTAGCAGGGCTCTTGAACATGTTCATGGCACTCACTATAACCTGTAATGTCATTAGAGGGAGGGTCGTTGGTGTCCCCTGAGCAGTAGAATCTATAGCTGTTTGTGGAAGTGGGACCTTGTCTGTGTAAGTGGACACCCAAGCACACATACACACATACCTATTTTCACTTTTATTATTATGTTTGTGTGTGTGTGTGTGTGTGTGTGTGTGTGTGTGTATGTGTGTGTGTGTGTATATATATATATATATATATATATATATATATATATATATATTCCAGATGTTTTTCACACAAGAAGGGAAAATGGAATAGTCGTAAAAAGATGGAGGGTGGGGGTATTTATTTTATTTATTATTTATTTATTATATTTATACCCTTCTCTTTTGTTAGGGTGGCCTTACAAAAGCATCATACGATGCTAGCATCATAAAAACAACCACAGTACAATCAAAATATTAAAAAATATCGAAACAACAATTAAAACAATTAATTAAGACACATCCATTAAAATCAAAACCCAAAAATCCAAATAATAATAATAAATAAATCCAAAAGTCTGCTTTGAGTCCCCCCAGGGGTGAGAAAGGCAGTAACTAATAATAATAATAATAATAATAATAATAATAATAATAATAATAATAATAAAACAGTCCGGGTCAATTCATTGCCATAAATTGTGTGATCTTCTTCTACTTGCTGCTCACTGATCCAACGCTTGGTCCCATCACCAGGTCTTGATTTTCCTTCTAAAAGACAAGAGGGAGGTGGCCGATCTGAGATCTCTAGGGAGGGCAATCTTTAGGTCAGTGATGAAGAGAGAAAATGGATTTAAACAGCTGCCTTCTTGAATTCAAATGATGGTTATGTGACGACGCATCCCATAAAGGGGGGAACCAGATGCGGAAGCAAAGGCGCATCCCATCTCAGGGCGATGCTTGGCGAGACTGGGATTATAGCCAGGTAAATGGCTTATTCTGCTCTCTAATGTGGGAGGGATCTGCGCTGAGCGGAGTTTGGAGGTCAAGCCATTGGCGTGAAACCTGGGATTGAGCCGAGCAGACATTTGGGAGATTTCCATCCCATTTGGACGATAATGCCCTGAGCTTCTGACCCTTTTTGGGGATTTGTGTCTGCATGCTTTGTGACCACAGCGCGTCAGGCTTCTGCACAGTAGAGGCGTGGAGCCAAAAGGCGCTAAAGGTCTGGCTTTGGGACTAAGCAGGGCTGACTCTGGTTGGTCCTTGGATGTGGGGCCCTGCCCCGTAGGCTCCGTGGGAAAAGGATCTTGGAGTCTTCGTGGAGAGTAAACAATGTGATGCTGCAGCTGAAAAAGCCAATGGGATTTTGGGCTGCTTCTAAAGGTGTCAAGTGTCTAGATCGAGGGAAATCATGGTGTCTCTCTATTCGGGTTTGGTTACACCTCTTTACCCGCAATGTGTGTCCAATTCTGGGCACCAAAATTGAAGAACGACAATAATAATAATAATAATAATAATAATAATAATAGGGAGCCCCCGGTGGGGCAATGGGCTAAAGCACTGAGCTGTTGAGCTTGTTGATCGAAAGGTCGTAGATTCGATTCCGGGGAGCGGCGTGAGCTTCCGCTGTTAGCCCTAGCTTCTGCCAACCTAGCAGTTCGAAAACATGCAAATGTGAGTAGATCAATAGGTACCGCTCCGGCGGGAAGGTAACGGCGCTCCATGCAGTCATGCCAGCCACATGACCTTGGAGGTGTCTACGGACAACGCTGGCTCTT